CGTGTAGGGCACGTTTAGTTTGCTGATTGAGTTTTTAATTTGAATTGAGATGTGATTTTATGTGAGTTTTTTATTGTAACAAAAAAGTTAGATGTGACTATTTCTGAAATTTTTTTACTGTTGTAAAACTCGAATCGGTAAAATGAACATAGTCATATTTTGTAAGGTACATAAGAATGATTCTCTGAATTCATTCGTTTTTTTTTTTCTTTTTTCTTTATTCAAACAAAAAGAATAATCCTATTCCTTAAAATAAATTATCAACAAGGCTATCCATTTGAGGAATCATTTCAAAAACTTTGGACAGATTAAAAAAAAAGTAATAAACTGTGTAAATCGTATTTTCAACTTGCGTTTTAGAACCTTATGCCTCTTCATTTCGGATGTCTGAAAAAAATGCGTATTTAGATTGTGCTAGATATTTATCTGTATAAAATTATAGGGGACGACTTAAACATCTGTTCAAGTCAATTTCTTTGCTTAATAAAATTTAGTACTAACAAAAAAAGGGTGTGAATTATGAAACATGTCTGGCAGTTACTCGCCTCACAGTTATAGAACCTTATCCGAAAGCATTTTCTTGGCAAATTTTGATTTTGACAAAGACTGCGAGATACTAACAACCGACAGACAGAGCCCTCCTCCTAAACTCCCACCCTGCACTCACACATGAAGTTGGATAACAAATAACATCTCTTTAGTTCTAATTATATTATTAGCTGTTGCATTGATATTTTGGAGAACTTATTTTTCAATCTTTTTGGATTTTTAGATTTTCCCTAAAATTTCATTTGTTCTTATTTGCTCGCCAATACTGAATTATACGTGTGTGTGTGACAAAAGAGGGTCTGGCAAACAGACACACAGAATAAGATGTTTGGGAGTGGTGGACCCACCCATATTTTCTCCAAGCTTGGTAATCATTGGATTCCATCTACTATTTCATTATTTTTATTTGAAAAACGTTAGTATAACCCTATGGGATTAAATCTCCTCTCTCTCACAAAGAGTGGGTCCATATGTGAAAGTGGAATCTCGGTGGGATCCACTCTTTGTGAAAGAGTGAGAATTTCGTCCTACAGGAACAAATAGAGTTTTTGTTTATTTTAGAAATATGATTTGTTTTTTTTTGTTTTGTTTTTTTGTGCAATTCTTATTTTGAGAAATTGAGAAAATATAAAACGTGTAATCGTGTTAAAAGGGAAACCGTGGAGAAGAGCACGTACAAAGAGCAGGCAGATTGCAGAGAAAATAGAGAAAATGGCAGTTACAAAAATCGTTTATTTGCATATAAGTAATTAGAATAAAAATATGATAGAATAAAATAAAATAAAACAGAACAAAACAAACGGTGATAGGCCAATGGTGAATAGAGATGCAATTATGGATTGAGGTTCGTGAGCCGGCCCGACCTTTTGATATAGTATCAGGTTGGGCCGGCCTGATAAGATACTGTTCAAGGCACGACCAAACTCAACAAAATTAATAAACTAGACTGGACTAGCATTTTTCGGCCCATTTACCGGCCCAACATGGCCCATGAAAATTCATGAGACATGCCGGGCTTGGGTTGTGCCGTGCCAGTACGAATAGGCCTATGGGTCGGTGTCACGTCTCGAAACATGGGTTAGTGACGTGAAGACTCATTTAAAAATTAAACATAATTAAGAAAGTAATTAAGCATTTAAAAATATGAAAATCAAAATTAAGCATTTAAAAATATGAAAATCAATCTCAAAAGTAAAACATTAAAGAAATTTCCAAACAAACCCCACACTTTGATAAAATTAGTTTACAAGAAAGTGATGGAGATTTTCACACTTTTATGATAAAATAGGTTTAAAAACTAAGCCTCTGACATCATTCAGGGTCTCACCCACAGGATAATACAATATTGTACATATATGAACATGTAAAGAACATTTATAGATATCAACCACCGTCTAGATATTCGAAGTTTACAGTCTAAGAGTTTACAATCCGATAATATACAATCCTTACATTGATGTGTCAGTAATGGATACAATGAACATACCGTAGCAACTTAATCAGCTACATTGTGCTGCTTCTAGCATCGACTGGGAGGGATTTAATATATAGAAACAAGAAAACATGAGTAGAAGGCCGAGTAGGATGTATTTTGAAATAAACTTTATAAACAAGTAAATAAATGAATAACTAAATAAATAAAGATATCCAGTTCCAACACAACAGCCGGAACCTAACATCATTTTTTCTGAAAGGAAGTATAAACTTTAAATTCCGCATTACAGGCATCAGCAAGTAATTTATACTATGAAAAATTACTTACACAACCATAAGCACAAGCCTTAACACCACCGTAGTGGCCCTGTCCGGGTTTCGGGTTCTGCCCCCGAGGATACACTCTGCATATCCTATCTCGGCCGTCGGCAGACTTACTAGTTCGCGAGATATCTTATATTAAGAAATCATTCATTAAAACTTTGAAACAGTTCAGTATGATTCCAATAGCTAAAATCAAGCTAATGTGTTAACATACTTTTCTTTATTAATCATGTCCTTTCTTTAAAATATTTTGTAAAGGCTAAAACTCTTAAAACATGCTAACAAATAAAGGATAAGAAATCCTACCTCTCAAGTACCAAACATGTTGCTAGCGTTACGCTATCCTAGCTTCCGCTTCCTCAAAGTCTTGAATCCGATTCTTCAACTAGCATTTACACAAAACAACGTTTTAGGATTCAATCCTTATCCTTAAAATGAATCAGTCTTAATCATACTTGTTGATTTCCTATTAGTGTGTCTTAATCAAATTTCAAGTTTCACAAATCATTTCATGTTTCAAATTATCATTCTAAGGATTTTGATCTCAAAACATGGATTAAAGATGCTAATCCATCTACTTTAGGTTCTCAAATGAAGCTAATTTGAGTTTTCTTTGAAAACAGGGGTCAAAACAACATTTTAAGGCAAATCTGGTTCAGATAGAGAGAGAGAGAGAGAGTTACGTGGGAGGAAGAGAGAAAAATGAAAAAAATATAAAAAAAAAAGAAAAAGATGAACAGTGGTGGGAGCT